GTACTGTAATGTACTGTTTTCATAGTCTTTATTTTACAGTTGAAGTAAATATTTATCAAATAATATCTAATGTTAGAACTAGTTGGGGTTCTTTTATTTACACATGTCCAACAGGTCGATATAGAGGGGGGATCTGGCAGAGCTAACCAGCAATCGTAATTTTCACTTTATAAACCTTATGAAATAAAATATGATGGCAGAAACAGATGCTGGGACTCCTTTTTTTTAAAACTTTTTTAGCAATGATGGGTGGACAGTAGGTAAAAAAAACTCCTTGACTGTCATATAGAGGTTTTTAAAGTAAAAAGAAAAACAGTCGTGACTGTTGAATTAATTCTTCAGAGCCTCTCGTTTTAACTGGACCTTGAATATTAAAACATCACTGACCGTCTCTTGTGTAAATGAAACCAAAATTGACAACCAACTTTCTCTGGTTTGAACCGTAACCAGTATCTGGAGACGTGCACCACAGAAAACTCTGGACATTTACCCACTGTGAGCTGACCAGTCAGATGTCCTCGACTGTTCCTGGCGTTCAGCGTCACGTTCTTTTCTGACCGCAACACCAACAAGCTGTCCTGAGAGAAGAAATTATTCGAGTCAGTTAAAAGTAAGTTGTCTGCAGTGAAAAAGCTCAGACAAGTTTTATTTTATTTTATTTCATTTTATRAAGATGTGTTTCAGCACACAGAGGTTTGTGTGTCAGATGAAGATGTGCTTTTTCCATCAGTGACATCTACGTAGGTGTTTACCTCCTTCCACTGAAGACCTCTTCTGCTTTCTGGCAGGTTTTTTTTCTTTTCTTGCAACTTTATGTCTTTTTGACATTTGAATGAAGGCACATTTGCACACGACATGCATACTGATCAGGCTTAGAGTCKGTGCAGATTTTCCCTTTTTTATCTCATTTTTCTGGAAACTCTGCAACATGAAGGAACTACAAAGTCATCTTTGTTTAAAAAAACAGAGAGAACAATGTGCTGCATCAAAGTAAAGCGTACCCAACAAACTGTCAGACGTAATGTTTATCTTCAGGAGAGGAGAACTTAAAGTAACGTTCGTGCATTTCAAAAAGCCTGTGAAGATATCATTCTTTGTCCTTGGGAGCAAACTGAACAATCTGCTCTGGTTTTGTTGATCTTGTGATTTCTTTTATATGAATATGATTATATTTTGGTCAAACATATTACTGGTAGGTAGAGGGTAAATACTTAAAATGCTTGGCACTTGGAATATAACAACTTATACTCTACTAACTAGTATTTATCCTAACATTGATCTTATGATAATGACTAACAAATACTCTAAAAAGTCTGTTTTTATCATCAGGACTCCCGAAAGTCCAGTGCAGCAAAACTTTTAACACATTACTCAAGTTTCTGGAATAGTTTTCAACAAATTGCTGCTGTATCATCACATACCAGCTTTGCTTAAAATTTCATCATTTTCCTTATCTAAGTCCAGCTTGTTTGCAAAGGTTCACGGTAGGGTGATTCCAATTTAAACTAGACTCCTTAGAGGTTTATTGTGAACTTGGTTGAGCGTAATAGTTTCCATTTCTTATTCACAGGAAAGAAGTTTTAGAAAAAGCACGGATTTAACAAGGGGCTACATAAACAAACAGTATATTTATTCATATGTTAGACTAGAAGTAAAGAAAATATCAAGAATGGTCATATTCGTTTAGTTTTTAAAAGTTATAACCAAAGTTCTCTTTAGATCTATTCCACACAGAGGAGTGTGGGCCAGGCCTGGCAATGATGACACTGTTTTTAAGATGACATGCCACAACTGGCCGGTTGTGGTTTGGTTGATGTGGCCCAAATCTGTCAATGTCACAAATGGCCCAGTTGTAGTTTGGTTGATGTGGCCCAAATCTGTCAATGTCACAATTGGCCCAGTTGTGGTTTGGTTGATGTGGCCCAAATCTGTCAATGTCACAACTGAGCCGGTTGTGATTTGGTTGATGTGGCCCAAATCTGTCAATGTCACAATTGGCCCAGTTGTGGTTTGGTTGATGTGGCCCAAAACTGTCCATGTCACAACTGAGCCGGTTGTGATTTGGTTGATGTGGTACTGGCTCATACATGGGAAAACCTCTAACAAACCCTATCTGAGCAATCAAGTGGTTGTCATTCTTTGTGGTATTAGGGTCGAGTTAGTGTATTGTGTGGCTGTATTGTGTGGGCCAGAAATGGGCCAGACAAATTTAGTTATGTGGGACCAATGCAACAACAATAAACACTTGATATGTTCTAGCAACATGCAGTAAAACTTTGACTATTTGAAAAATACGTGTAGTTTTGACTATGGTCAAAAAATGACCATAATGTTGTCTTGGACAGACTTTTCAAAAACCAGTAATGATTTTAAGCCTCGGTAAACACACGTGGCATTTACAGACACCAAAATCCCAATTAGAGCCAATTATAATACTGAAACACAAACTTAAGAGGTTTATCCAATAGTCTCTTTGGGATGCTAATGTTAACTCAAGTGTCTAATTATCTAGAGTTTGTGCAGTGTGAAACTTGGCAGAGGTCGTCTGGTTCATTCTCATCCCCTTCTTGCTTTGTTCAAATATCAAGGCACATCATGCAGTTCACCAGCAGGCATGGGATCGTGAAGAAATTAGCACTTTTGATTTATGGCATCCTTTTAAAGAGTTTACAGGTCTTAAATTATCGTCTTTAGGGATTCTGWCAGAGAAGCTGTTGCTCTTCCAAGCACTTCTCTGAGATTACATGAAAGGGATAATTTTAATCGCTGCGCTAGTTACGGAAGGTCAAGTGTGGATCAAAGTGAAAGCACATAAATGGATCGAGTGTTTGTAGGTGAACCAGGCCCCATCAGGCTGAAGAATTACCATGGCCGCAGTAAGGCAAAGGACGCCTCCCTGCATACAATGAATACTATCTCAGATGAAAAACACCATCAAAGTTCAAAGGGTGCAGTTTTTCATGCTTTTCTGTGATAAGCTTAAAACTAAATGCAAGAATTTGAAGCAAAACTAAAAATGACAGTGCTCAAAACGTAGAAAAAATACACTTGATGACAAATAATTAAGCTCTGAGAGGGAGTTGATACCATCCATTAGGCTTGGGCGGTATGACGGTATAGTGGTATAACTCAATACTGAAATATAAAATATACAGTAAACTTCAATTTAAAATTAAATTTAAATTAGTCACTATTAAATTTTGCTCACTCTTGCCATTTTGACCAATCCCCACAACTTTTCTAATCAGGTCTTCCTATTTTCACTTCCTGGAATTCAGGCCTGAAACATGAAACCATTTTGATGACAGAAAATCAAATCTAATATTAAACACTGAAATCTGAGTCAATTTCCTGATTACGTGAAAGTGGTGAAAATTTGTTTTGCCCGAAGTGCAACATTTWTGTTTGAACGTAAAATGAAACTTCTTTCACGGTGTAACGTGTGAGAATGGTTGGGCATATTGGTTTTCAGTCAGACGGGCTATGACTCAGCTAGAAGTGGTGATGATGAGAGGTGAGGGAGGCATTCTCCCTTTAAATGGAGGAAATATAATTTGGCAACAGAGCAATGTATTGCTCTGTTGCCAAATTCTCACATTAGGATRAAAACAAAGTACATGTATCCACCATTCTATGTACAATGACCTTGTTTTTTTWAAATCAAAATGCAACACTGTCAACCTCAAAGTGTTTCTAACATTTTCGAAAATGTTTGATTTCTGAGACAAAGCTGCGAGTCTAACCAGCTGATGTKTTTCTTCTGCAGGTGCAAATTTAAGACTAGTGCTTACTCTGACACATCTCATGTGCACATCAGTGAGACTGAGTGAAGTTTCCTTCAGAGAATGTTACACTTGCATCTGCCACTATTTATAGATCAGTCTAGGCTCCCAGAAAACAAAAACGTGAGGCGGCAGTCTGAACAACAATCTGATTAACTGGATCTGGACACTTTTTTTCCTTCACTTTGCTTTAACTTTTTCTGTGTTTTGAATTGTAATGAGAGTTTATGGYGGCAAGTACAAATTTTAAAACGTTATTCCACTCAGACAGCAGAATCTTTGCTAATTAATCATTTCCACRTATTGGAGGTATCTGGAAATGAGGTGTTTTAATAAATTAACCTTCCTTTTAACCTGCAAATATATTTATGGCACATCACTATGTTCATTGCAGTTTTTGTTCTTGACTTATTAAGTCAAAGCAAAGCAGCCTAATGCACTGATGTATTCCCTCCATCTATAATCTCTCTGCCATTGACGCATTTTCTCGATTGAGAAATATTGAGTGACTTTTCGATGTTTTTGTCTTGAATATGTCTGGTGTTGGAAGATAAAAAGGCCACTAAAGGCCTCTGCATGCTCCCTTCCAACTCTCATTTGCTCTCATTGTCGCAGTTGCATGACAGAAATCTYGTCATTTTGTCTGCAGCTTCCACCCCTTCTTGTCACAACCCCCAGGGAGAACTTTTCACCTCCTTCACCATAAGAAATGATTGTGATTGGTCACTGTATTTTGCTTCAAATGGTTTGTTTTGGACGAGACTGACGAGCTAACAACTTGTCCAAGCAGAGACCCAAGTGTCCTGTCATAATAACGCTTAAAGTCCTACACCCACCATTTTTTTATAGTGCATATCTAGCAAAATCACATTTCACTGTTTGCGGACTCAGTCTTTTGCAGATTTTTTTTTTTACAGTATGTGACTTTTGTTCTGTGCCCACGCCAATCAAACGCACCTTTTCATAATTTTTCCAGTGAAGCMAAATGCAAGAAGGTTTTCAGGACACTCCAGAAGAAGGTCGAATTACTAGGTTTACTTCAGCTTAATTCACTATAAGAAGAACGAGATAGCGATAAGGAATACCGTAAATCTGTAAATCATCTTCTTTGCAGGACAATCAATATCATTATATCAACTTTCTGCTTGGCCTTCAGAGGAGTCGGACGCTTTTTGCTCTCTCTCCCGAACCTCCCTCTTTTCCCTGCTTTGCTGCTGGATCAAGCCTTTCTTCTACCTATCGTTCGACGACAAAAGAACTATGGATCTGGTCAACTGGTCTCTGAATGGAATTGATGTCATTTTTTCCACTCTGAGATTAGAGCGTGGGGAGCGCAGTTGGCTCAGTGGAACTGTGGCTGCGGGGCGAGTTTCAGGTAGCCGAGGGTGGAATCTGATCTGCTTGGCACTTCTTTCCATTGAGGACGTCGAAGATGTTTTTATATTTGGATTTATGATAATGGGATTCCTGCTGATCGGCTGTGAAGGAGTTCTGGTTTATCGGAAAATGAGAAGGACACTGACAGCAGTCCGGGCCTGTGAGAAGCTGTCAGTGACCCTGGATGGGACCTCTCGTATGGTGAACAGACAGACTCAAATGATGGGGGCGTGGGCCAGCTGTGGTCCCTGGACTTTGCTAGGACCGCAGCCCAGCAGCGTGCCCGTGAGGAGTAAGGCAACATCTGGGTGAAGCTCATACGGGAGAGGCGAGATGGTAACGAATCTGGATTATTGGCATTTTCACAACACAGAGGCTCAGTTAAGACTTTAAAGCAGTGGAAGAAAAGTCTGCTGTTTGCTCTAAAGAATTTATTCCTATCATCGGATCCCACAGATGTGTCCTTGGATGCAGCTGATAAAACCTCACTGGATGATATAGGGAGGAAGCCTTGATCCCCCCCTCCCTCCAACCCCCACCCGTGTCTGGAACCCGGTCTGGAGGCCGTGCTGGGTGGAAACAGAGAAACTGAACTCTGGTGATCTGTGTCTGACTGATAACAGCTGGTTTGGACTCTGAAGGTCTCTGATTTGGTTCAGGCACTCTGCCCTGGATGTCACCAGCTCCTCTGCACCCCTTCCCCCTTCCATATGTTTGTCCCCCCACCTTCCATATGTTTGTCCCCCCCCCCGCTCCTTAGCTGCTCCTTTCGCAGAGTAGTTTTTTTGTGCGCATGCTCGAGTGTTTTTCTGTATAACACAGGATCAAAGCTCTTTTTTTTAAACTCATCCTTCCCATGTGTGTGTGTATTCTAAACTGCACGGTAGCGCACGATGTTGCGCATGACCCTGGACATTCATTCCCCCATGTTTGTTGTGTTTCTCCGGACGGATGTTCTAAACTGCATTTCGTTCTGCATTGCATCTTTGATGTTGTGTGTGAATGACANCAACTAAACATGGGCATAGTAACAATATTATTCTACATGTATACATTTTAAGCAACTAAGGCAAAAATGTAAATAATTTAGAAAATCTTTTCAGGACCCCACCTTGATGTTTCAGGACCCCACTTTGGGTCCCGACCCCAACTTTGGGAATCACTGCTCTAAAGAATTTATTCCTATCATCGGATCCCACAGATGTGTCCTTGGACGCAGCTGATAAAACCTCCCTGGATGATATGTGTGGAGGAAGCCTTGATCCCCCCCCCAAACCCCACCTGTGTCTGGAACCTGGTCTGGAGGCCATGCTGCGTGGAGACAGAGAAACTGAACTCTGGTAAACTGTGTCTGACTGATAACAGCTGGTTTGGACTCTGAAGGGCTCTGATTTGGTTCAGGCACTCTGCCCTGGATGTCACCGGCTCCTCTGCACCCTTTCCCCCTTCCATATGTTTGTCCCCCCCCCCGCCGCTCCTTAGCTGCTCCTTTCGCAGAGTAGTTTTTTTGTGCGCATGCTCGTGTGTTTTTCTGTATAACACAGGATCAAAGCTCTTTTTTTTAAACTCATCCTTCCTATGTGTGTGTGTATTCTAAACTGCACGGTAGCTCACGATGTTGCGCAAGGCGCTGGACATTCGTTCCCCCATGTTTGTTGTGTTTCTCCGGACGGATGTTCTAAACTGCATTTCGTTCTGCATTGCATCTTTGATGTTGTGTGTGAATGACAWTAAATGATTCTGATTTTGATTTATTTTCTTAAGTACCCATACATTTTACAGTTTATATTGAATTAAAGTTAATTCGTACAATATATTTTGTGTATTGGGAGAATATTTAGGCCTTTTAGGGACCATGTCCAATATCTTTCACAATTCGTGGGTACTCTAGATTGTAAAACCCAAGAAAATCGRAGGTTCACTTTAAAGGCATATAAAAACATCTATGTTCTACAGAAAATGTTGCAAATAATGTGCTAAAAAGAAATATGTATAAGTTTTCCAGCTAGTGGTTGGAACAAGGTATCACTTCTAGATACGCTGTGATGTCAAGAAAGGAACGCCCTCAAATGAGACGGTGAGATTTATATTGAACACCAAACTTATCTTTTATTTCTGGACAGACTACTCGTTGTAGGAACAAAATGTTGAATTGATGTGTTGCACAGTTCTGTGGAAATACAGCCAAGGAAGGAGTTTCACAAAACTCCAAAACATTCAAAAGAAATGAGTAAAGTTTGTCAGAGTTGAAGGACGGACTTCGCTTTATCTGACCAGTTCAACTGGAGGATTAAGAGTCATCAACGATGCAGACTTTTGTACTGTCAGTTTCATATTAAACTGTTTTTCTGTAGCTATTTTCAACCAAGCTGTAGCACGTCTTGTGCAGTTTGGAGGACATCCAGCGGGAATAAGACAACAACTAATATTCCCCAAGGTAAGGTCATTCAAAGAGCTAAACACAATAGGTGAAATGTTCATAATTTTTCAAAAAGCCACAGTTTGGAAGATTTGAATTATTTAAAATGAAAGTATTTATCTCACATATTTGATTGGAAATCCACTAAGGTTCTGATCACTCTGTAACTAAYCTAAAGGTTTCCTGAGAGGAGCCTGGGATCCATCTCCCAACAATAGGTGGTCCTGATTATGCATTGTGGGAAATTATTGAAGAGAAGAAGGGCAACAAACAGAAACAAAGAAGAGTAATCTCTCTAATCTAGGCACAAATAAAACTTCAAAGCCCTGCCAGGTTTTAGCTCAGAGGGAAGTCGGCCTTTCTTGTTTGATGAATTGATCAAAAAATTTCTCAAACACTTAAAGATTGATCTTAGTCCACAGCTTTAGAAAAGTATTTTCTTCCAAACACCTTTTCCCATATGTTTCATTCTGCTGTGCCCRTTTGAACACTGCCAGTGTCAAAGTATCGATCAGCAGGAAACTTTGAGCTACTTACTCTTCTGGACTGGATCTCATTCACGTACAGAGGCATCTGGAACTCACTGACTCCCTCCAGGTTAACGCCGTCCTGGTTCAGCTGGAGCTTCCCCATCCCATCCTGAAACAACCAGAATCAGTGGTGAGCTGTGTCCATGTTTGTGCTTTGTTTCCTAAGATTACAGATCTATAAAGCAACACAGCAGCTGAATCTTGCTGCTGCTGCTGGACTGATTTTGATAGAGTTGCTGCTGGTGGACAGGCAGCAGCACTGAGTGACGGGGGCGAAGCGGGACATGGCATTGAGGTGACAGGGGTTTAGACACAGTTTGTCACTGACAGGCTGCCTGCAGTGGGAGGGAAGTGAGGAGGAGGACACAGCTCTGGATCTGATGGGATCATTTGCGGAAATGACAAAAGAATTAACCAGATTTACAGCCATTCAGATGAGATGAGTTGACTCAGGACTGCTGATAACATTATCACGGGGTTATTTTTAACGTTGCTGGCATTAATATAGCAGTACTTTTTGGTAAAATTCCAAAAAGACCTTTAGTGTACTGCAAAATTAGTCACGAAGAGGCCTCAGGACCACCTTATGGAGCCATCAAATATTTATTGTCCATYGACTCAAGGCAGATGTCTGTCTGCTACTAAAATATCATAAACCACTGCACAGATTCAAATAAAACTCAAAATTAAAATTAAAATTAAATTCCGTTGTAATTTACTTTTCTTTTGGGTTATTTATTATATATTTTGGGTATAAAAAAGGGGCAGATATAAGATTTATTCTTCTTCTGCTGCCTTTCATTTTATTTGATTTTATTTTGATTGCATGCTTTTTGTTCTTTGTCATTTTGTGTTACAAATGAAATGAATAAATTTCTAAAATAAAAAAACTCAGAAAGTACTCATTGTTTGTACAAATACAAATAATACATTGGAGAAAATGCTGCATAAGTGTGGTTTGTTTACTTAGAGGTAGCCCCAGCTAGCATGGGTGTTAGCAAGTCATCAGAGTAGCCTTCTACAAGCTGCAATGATAAGCATCAGAGGATTTAATCCCAAATGGTTAGTTGACCCTAAATTTAGCAGATGACTCTGCAAGATTGTGTATGTTAAGCATGTTTTGCACTCTCTGAAAATATTAACAATATTACACACTTATTTTAAGGCTCTTGGCAGTTTTGAAAAACCTAGACGAGCCAGTTTGATGGTACACAATTTTTATTCATGTTAGTTTATTTTACTTATAAATGTGACCAGTGTTACATAGCATGTCTCATGATTCACTGGCTGATTAATTAATTAAGATTTAACTTAAGTGCAAATAACTGATATTTAATAGTTTTCTTTGTTTTGTTAAAACAGTATTTGAAGAGTGTGCCATTTTGTAACACTATAGTTGGTGTTTTCATCAACCATGTCTTAGAATAACCTCCATCTTTCATCACCAAAATTTAAGCTGTTAGGTGTGATGTTTTATTATTTTATTTGTTGTTTGATTCTTTTGTTTTTTACTGCATTTTATTATGGGTATCCCAAAACAACTTTTTCACTTCTAAAACGATACCAATATTGTTGCCTTGTTGTGTGTTGTCCGTTACCGATACTGACCCAATGTAACATCAGAAYGAATCCTACACACTTGTATTACCTCTTTGTGTATGGAAAGTTAAAATGTTTTGATCAGGGCAAACAATAGTCAACAAGAATAGGTATGAGAAAGACTGGTCCCATTTATTTTCATCCAACATGTTACTTATTTTTCTAACTTATATATAAGAATATTGCACAATTAATTACAATAATGAAATAATAAAACAGAATACCCTGAAAAATAACCACAATAAATCCAATAAAAACAAAATATACTTTTAAAATGTAATATAACTAGTCAAGGCCACTTAAGCTATTMATGCTGAATCCAAGCACTGTGGAACAGAAATCCTGACTGGACTACTAGACTGGGCTGCTTGTATCAAAATGCTTATATCAGTGATTTTAGATGCAGGCCAATATAATCCCATATTCGTCTTTTGGCTAGTATCGCCCATATTGACATCAGATTGGAACACCCCTACATTTTTTATTTTATTTTATTTTACAGTGTCCTTTAGTGCAATGAAAGGTGCCTTCAAACAAAAAATGTATTATTATTATTATTATTATTATTATTATTATTATTATCATCACATAATTACAAAGGCATATCTTCAAATTTCCTGTAAACGATTAGCATTTTTTAACAAAAACACAGTGGGCTGCCCTAGCGGCCCTACCATCAGGTTTAGCAGGTTTTCTGACCAACTGATTCACTTTTGGAGTCAACCTGACTGCCACAACCAACTCTTAAAAACCACAAAAATGGCTACAAATGAGGTCGTCAAGGCTTGACCAAAACTGCTCCAACTCTGTTCTTAACACAAGATGATCTTAATCCAAAACTCTGAGATGAAAAATGTCAAGTGAATTCCTTACATTTGAGGTTGAACTAAAAYCCAAAAGGTTTTTAGTTGCCACCTYAAGCTGTGTTTGTGTTTCATACTGAACAAGCTGGTCAGCTTATCGTGTGAAATCAGGCAGACTTTTCCTACCATAGGAAAGCTAATTAGACACAAATTGGCTCCTTGCTGTTTCTTTTTTTGCCAGAAAATACCCAACATAAAACACAGAAAGCTACAACTGCTGCACAAGATGATTCTGTTATTTAATGGACTGTGTCACGTCAATTCAGAACATTTCTGTCGCAGATAATTCAGCTAAAATTGGACAAGATTGGGTTTAGCCACAGCACAATGAGCAGAGAGTGGTACGAGGACAGCTTTTTCTGTGGAGGTGTTAGATCGGCCCTGAGGGATGCGCTGAAAGAGCACATTGAGCCGGCAGCACAAATGGAGGGCGCCGGTGGAATGCAGAGGCAGAGCAGCAGCAGGGAGAGCTCCATCATACATGAGAGCTGGGGAACGAGGACAGACAAGGGAACAAAATCAAAAGGAGCACAGGAGGAGGAGGGTGTGGGCAGAGCGGGGGTCTTTGTATGTCAGCAGACAGATGCTACAGTCACTCTTGAGCTTGTAGGGAGGGGGAGAATTGAACGTGAAAGGTCCAGTGGAAGGTGGGAGCGAAAATACGGTATTCAGAAATGCTGTGTTTGGGATGTTGCAGCGTTTTTCTACACGGTTGTGTTTAAAAAGTAAAGTTTGCCCCATTTGAAATCATCCTTAAAGACTTTTCTCAGATCCTTTGAAGTGGTGTTCTGTGGAAATGTGCAATATTAATATTTGGCTGTTGTAGCTCTTCGAAAAACCTACGTTTATAGAAATAGTTTATTTMTGACCAAACTGATGAGTTAGCAGCTTATTTGAGCAAGTCCAAAAGCCACAGCCTTTCCAACATCCCGTCAACTTCACACTACATGGTTATTTACATAAAAGGGTTATTTATAACAGCAACAACAACAACTAGATATAGAATTTGAGGAGCTAGAACATCATAATATTTCTGATGGAACAACCAACCCATAATTGACAGCTGTAAATATTTCTGCTACAAATACTGTAGTTGTCATAACTATTTATTAGGGGTGCAACAATACATGTACCCATATCAAACCGTTCAATACAGTGCTTTAGGTTCAATACACACTTGTATCGAACAATACAGATTTTTAACATTTATTTTATCAACTTGTCTTCTGAAGATGCTCTGTGCTGAAGGATCAGTGGATCTGTGTTCGACTACTCCACCTAGGCTGCATTGTCGAGCGCAGATCCACTGAGAAACTTGCTGTTTCAGCAACGTTTAATTTAAAAACTGTACTTTTGAGGTTAAACAAATGTTCATCATTAATTTAAATAAATTACAAATTAAAAGGGGGCATGGAAATTTCTCTTTTTTGTATCGAAAAAATATCGAACCGTGAGACTAAAGTATCGAACCAAACCGAATCGTGACTTTTCTGTATCGTGGCACCCCTACTATTTATGATGAAAATTTATTAAAGGGGGGTATTTTCCAGGCACATACTTCAGTTCTATACCACAATCAAGTAACTACGTTAAGGTCCTGCCACACTAGACAACTTATGAAACATTTCTTATTTCTAAATTGCCAATAAAAATTATATAATATTTTTATATTACTGTTTCTGACACTCCCACTTCAGCTCATCTTCACAACAATGCTTCATGCCATTTACAATTTTTTGTAGGAGTGATGGATTTTGTTGTAATAAAAAAAGAAGCAACATTATATAACATCAGTCTTGGAAAATGGTAACTCGGTATAAAATTGAACCTTAACCAAATAATCCCACGTCGGATCTGGAAAGCATGTTTTCTAAAGAACCAGAGCGAGGACAGAGTCTCTTACAAGACATTTCAGCTTCCCGGTCATCCTCTCATACATTTACGTCAATGTTAAGCTCCTTTTTGCAAAGAAATTAGAAATGTGGTTAATTATGAAGCTTTGTTCGCAATGAAACAAGACTGAGAAGGAGTTAATATCACAAGTTCAACTAACRTGCGTTTGCAATCACCTGTGTTTGCAAATTGCTGCTTTCACGAACCTGTGTGGGAGAGGCGTGGGAGAGGCGTGCTCTGGGGGGTGGGAGCTCAGCTGAGGACTGAGCTCCAGAGAGGAGCTTTACAAATAGATGGTGCTTTGCACCAGCAAGTGTTTAGGCAACTCCAAACGGCTACCGTAGCAGATTCAATGATTTCTCAAACATGCATCTCAAACACTCTGAGTGTGTTTTTGATGAGGGAACACCATTATACTGTAACATCATAACTCTAATAAATAGGTTGTATATWTGTGACCCATCATATCAAAATGAGGATTAAGTCAAATTTGGTCAAAATGACCTAACAACATTTTCAGATTCTTGGCTTTAAAAGCTACATTTTGATACCTGGACCATCCTGGTATCATAAGCTTATCCAGAGATAAGACTTAATTTGTCTTGTTGGTTACGATAATACATTACTGTTTAGTCTGAATTCTAATTTTACATCCATTTATTGAGTAATTTTTATGTTAATATAAAGAGTAAACCTCAAATATTATTTGTATATTAAGATTTACCAGTTGGAAAGAAACAAAAACTTTGGTAGCTCACAGGGAAAAATTCTAAATTTTAAGGTGTTTTTCCTCAAAATCAGGTTTTTTGTTGCTACAGCTCAAAACGAAAACTTCAAAAACAAATTTAGGATTATATTTCAGACAGTTCATTCAAATAATACATTGATAAGGCATTAACTACCTCCGCCAAGGGCGAGGTAATGTTTTCGGTCACGTATATTTTTTTGTCTGTCTGTCGTTCTGTCTGTGGACAACATTACTCAAAAAACTTGTGGACGGATTGTCATGAAATTTTTACCACATGTGGGTACTAGGCCAAGGAACTCACCTTTAAATTTTGGTGATGTTCCATATCACGATGCGGATACAGGAATTTTTTTTCTTTTAACACTCTGACATCGGCAAAGCTGTGATGCTTTCACAGGGCGTGGGTTTCAAAGTGTCCAGCAGGTGGCACTGTAGTATTGGTATGCCCCTTTGTAACTCTATTACAGGATGGGGGGAATTGGTCTTGGTGAAGGTTTGCACTCTCCGAGTGCTTCTAGTTCATTATATGTTGACAAAATGCAATTTTTACACATCTTTAAATCAAAACCCTATACAGTATCTGCCTATTTCTCCACGTTCCACTTTTGGACTTAATCCTCATTTCAATGTGATGGCTCACATATAGAGAAACATCTTTAAAATGGCAGTTTCATTACATTTGAGTAACGTGGCCCCTTCCACCATTTAAGTTGCCCATCTAGGGTGTCTCCTGACTGATGTACTGCTGGAGACAGGCAACAGCTAAATCCAGTTTTAAACATATCATGGTGGAAAAAACAACAGTCAGAGACTGCAACAGCTTTGAGGTGTGTTCTAAAAGTTTTCAAAGGCTGAAGGTGTTTAAAAGTACGGGAGTCCTTCAAGCTAGCTGGTAAATAGAGGGAGGTTTGTGCGCTCTGTAAAGTCTGCTTTTGGCCGAGCAGCAGCAGAACAACAAGGCACACAGGAGCTATGATAAACTACTAATTTAAAAACCTGATAAGAGCCAGGACAAAACTCTACTATAATACAAATGGGAAATTGTTTTACTTTCATTACTTTTAGAAACTTGCTACATCCTGAGAGATTTGGAAGAGTGAAGTGCATTTTCTGATTCTACACCAACAGCACTGATAAGGTCTTTAACTAGTGGCACAGATTGATGGAGGGAGTTGGGAAGTCATAGAGATAGTCAGGAGACCCTGCCATCACAGAAAGGCTTTGTTGCCTTTGGGAGATTGTTGACAAAATGGTAAATTGTGAGCATTGTCCCTGAAAATGTCACCAGAGCTCACAGCCTTTGCTGGTTTTGATTTTGGTGGCGATTAACACAAGCGGTGTCAGCAGGTCCAGCTGCAGTCAAAGCCCACAACATGATAGCGGTTCGGGCCGTCTGCCAAACACATTTCAGTTCATGTTTGGAGAACTGGCTAAACTCACCACTGAAAAATTCATGACCTTAATGATCCAGACGGTGAGGGCCAGGTTGACAATCATGGTGACGAGGAGCAGCAGCAGGAAGAAGTAGATGCACCTTTTCCTCCATCCGCACAGACCCACGGGGTACGCRGCATCGCAGCCCGGTCGCTGCAGGTGCAGGGACTGAGAGGTGAGAAGAAACTGCTCCTGGGTAATCTGGGAAAAGAAACAGAGCAGCCTTTATGTTAGCTGGCAGTAGAGGATCCAGTCACTCTTCACAGAGGTTGTAAAGAGGTTATTACTCTGCGAGTGCCACCAAAATGACTCCACACTGTTAGTTTTAAAGTGGTGCTAGAAGAAAGAACGTCTGTCATGGTTATTAGATGGGTGCTGCTACAATCTGTAACATCCATCTTTGGTAATTAAATGGAGGCGGAAGAAGGATATTTGTTTTAGCAGTTATTACATCAAAAAGTTGATGTTTCAACATCTTAATAGAAGACTATAGACTCCAGAAAATGTATTTTCGCAAATAATAAATCAAGTTCTGCACCTAAAATACACTGTCTAYATGTCTGTTTTATTATTGGGATAATTTAGATCATTTAAGGGGTTGTGAATAAAAAAATCTGACTAAGAATGTCAATCTTTAGGCAGGTCTCATGAATCGATTTAGACTCAGTGGGATGTGATTATAAACAGATTACAGATGCATTATGATTGTCTTGAAAATTAAATGATTATTATTTTACATAACACCAATTTATAAATGTTCACTCACAGAGTATGCAATAACATGTTCAAAACACCTATTAATCAAAAGCTGCTGACCAACAATTACTGATGCTAACTGAACTGTTTCCCAATTCAGGGGCTGCAGCCCACATAGGGCACTTTTGAAGGCAGGTTACGTCACTGCGCAGCGTCATAGGCCGTCCCAATTCGCAGGTGCCTACTCATGCGGCGGAAAAAAAGAGGCCGACAAAACCTTGAAGATGTAGGTTGCATCTGAGTATGCTACACAGCCGACAATATCCCAGAATTCATTGCGTCATCATCAAACTAAACAGAAAAACAAAGATGGATGAGAAATTTTTTTTTACTTCTTTTGTTTATTTGGAAATTCTTGCCGAACAAATAATTTGTTTTTAAATGTGCAACTTATCTGATGAACTGTATGCCACAATCACAAGTACTTAGTATACTGGCGCTGAACCCAACATAATTTAAGTGTTGTGTTTTTTTTAATAACACAAAATTTTGTGAAGTTATACCTCCCATAAAAAGTTGTGGCATGAGATATAAAACCTAATGCAAACAGACTAGTCTCATTTCATAGCAGTTTTATGCAGCCTACCCAGACTACGTAGGGTGTAGCCTACGTAGTCTGGGCCCACTGGGCCGCAGTCTATGTGGGCTAGAACCCCTGAAATGAAACACAGCTTTGGAAAAGACCATAGAAGAGCTAACATGATTAGCATCGTGTTTATCACTGAAAGTTTACCCACAAATCAAACAATACAAATTCTTTACTAAAGACGGTCCACTTTGCTTGGAAACTTGCTCAAACTAGCCTTTAGCTCCTCAGTTTGGTCCTGCTCGGAGGTTGCCGCTATGTTCAACAATTAATACAATTTCTTCATAAACATTTCCACAGAATGTCCTGATGCATCTCAGTAATCCAGGTAGAAAAAAATCAAAAAGAAAAAAATAAGTAGGTCCTCTGGATGGGTTCTTCTTTGGTGAAACGATTCGTCTCTCCCCCAAGAGACTTCTTCAGTCTGATTTCAGGTGAACTCACCCTTATAAGCACTGCCTCCACATGGTGGACAAACAGGTTAGTCATATGCAAAATACAATAGGGAAAGAGAGACAAAAACAAGGGGACGTTGAACCCCGCTTGCACTCACTACATACACATAACAAAACACCAAATAACCACAGCCAAAGCATCCAAACCAGTAAGTCAGGTGATGGGGCACATGAACCTCTATGAACAATAGCGCTAATCGAGCCTATTGTTAGGCGATGGCCCTCTTTTGCATGTGACTAACCTGTTTGTCCACCCCATGTGGAAGCAGTGCTTATAAGGCTGAGTTCACCTGAAACTCATCAGACTGAAGAAGTCTCTTGGAGGAGAGACGAAACGTTTCACTAAAGAAGAACCCATCCAGAGAACCTACTTATTTTTTCTTTTTGATGTTTCCACAGAACTTCACTTCAAAATAATCTAAAATACAATAATACCAAACATAAATGTACATTTAAGAAAATAATGCACTTTACTCTGTGAATCATCTGTCATGATTAACTGATTACATGTCAGCTGTGAGAATAATTTACTTAGACGTGGAAAAAAAAGCTTTTCCAAATCAATTATTAATAATCTTCTGCCAAAATTGGTCATTAAGGAGCTAATTAAAGTGATTAATAAAAGTTAGTCTGGTAAACAAGGTTTTTGACCTTTCTGATTGTATTCATGTTCGCTAAAATGAGAAGCAATTTGTATAGATTTAATAACCTATCACTGCTTTCTTTTCAGCGCTAATTACTTGTTTACATTTTGTCGTCCAAATGCTTAAATAAAAAATAAAGTTACCATGAAAGAAAAACAGCTTCCTGCATCTGCCTTGTTAACTGCTCTGCCCAGGTGAAACTCTTAGCACCGTTTGCAGTTTTCTGGTCGATTATCTTTAAAAAGTCTAACCTGATGATTCAGATTTTGTCCAATACCAATTTTATTTTATAACAGACACTGTCAGGTGTTATAAGGTTACAATACACCCAAGGAGGGTCTATAGAACTGGAGTGCACAGAAACCACGTGACCGTGTGATTGGCTGGTGAAGCTAACGGCTAACGCTAAACGGTCAAGACTGGATTTCCCATTACTGTACATGTTGACAACAGAGCAGAAAAAAGGACTGACAATGTAGAAATCATTAAAACTATTAATAATAATATTAATCCAACCATTATTAATATTTTACAGTTTATATAATCTTATCTAATGTTTTAAATAATGCCAGAAAAGCTGTTTGTGTTATGGATTTATTAACAGAAGATAAACAGGAAAACGTCTCATTTCACAACACAAGTCAGCAGATTTGATCTTATTTAGCTCAATGTGATCTGAGCAGAACATAATGTAACAGTTTAAAATTAAAACAATCTTATAAAGTCGATATAATCACTGTTATTTGTTGAAYTGGTTAGCAGATAATAGATTGTGGAGCATATATACAGAGTGTAGCACTGTTGAATCATGCTACAATTTAAAACAAACTATTAAATATTACAGCTGATTTGTCCTCTGATTAATATTTTGACCTACAGAGTGTAAAATAATATTGTAAATGTGAGTATTTTTATGTTTCTGTTAGAGGAACCTGACCTGTTGAGAAGATGTTAGCTAATAGAGACAAATTTCATCCTATAACCAGAGAACATTTTCTAACTGTTGACTGGTAAATATAAATATTCTTATTTTTTATGACAGTAAGAAGAAATAATAAATATAATTTATTACTAGCTGAAGTCATCACTTTTCAACTAGCTAAAGTCTATAAGTTACAGGCTGACTTCAGGTCTGGTTTAGATCGTTACTTATAAATTACAATTTTTTCTTGTATAAATCTGCTGTTTTACGATTGTTGAATGAAATTAACATAGTTTTTAATTTATTGTAAAAACATGACCGATAATCTGTGAAACAGATCCGGTTCAGTTTGCTGTTTAGCTATTAGTTTCAATGGAGGCTGTGAGCTGTTGCCCTTTTAGATGCCATTTTTGCTCCTCCATGCTGTCACAGATGCTACCAGTGTATGGTATATGGGCGGGGCTCAGTCTAGTGAGCTTTATATTTAAGTCTATGGATACACCTTCGATGTTCCAGTCTTATTTTATTGAAAAACACTGAATACCCTTGAAACAATACAAACTTGTTTTAACTGGACAACAGTCCTCTCTCACAGCAGAGGAAAAGGCAAYGGTGGATGATTTTCAGACCTTTGCAGAGCCAGATTAGACTGGCTTCTCATGTAAGTACTGGCCGATAGCCGAACGCCCAAAATTAGGGCCTATAGATCAGATTTGTTGGTACACCCCTAGTTCAGTGCAAAGCCAAGCAACATTGTACGATATGCTAGTGCTCCTAAAATGTGTTGAGGATGATCCTTAGCTACTACCAAATCAAATTTCGTCTCAATATCTGCAAACCTGAGTAATTTGTAACCATTTTGTGAAGGATGAGGTTGATTAGCTGCAGCAGACAGCTTACCAAAAGATGTTGTGTAATGTATAGAGCTTGAGTTGTCCTCTCAGTGTCCACCACATAAATGTTAGCTCCATATCTGTAAAATTAACTGAGGTATGCCGATAGCTGAGGCAGCCATTTTGAATTAGAGTGACTCCAAAAGTTTACCAGCTGTAAACAAACACGTGCTCACACAGATCCGAGCAAAAAAACATCCATGGCCTTTTATCTTAGGCGATAACTGCCAACCGAACAGTGAAATAAAAGAGCTGATTTAAAGCCAGTAAAAGGTTCTAGCTGAGCGGCCCCAGAGACAGCGCTACGCGTGAGCTCTGTCTCGACATCGCAGGAGCTGATGTCCGTCAAGCGAGGGTTGTCCGGGTGAGGACGAGCGGCTGCCGTCCTCCAGCGGATCGGGACCGAAGGCTGGCAGAGTGGAAATCCCAATCACAGGGTGCAAAGGTTGACTGGGCTCTAAACTCTTCTGCACAGCTGCCTGATGGGATGAATTTACACTGAGCTGGCTACGTTTTACACACAGCTTCAAAACAAAATGTTCAGCAGTGGCAGATTTTAGTCTTTTTTTTTAACCGAACTCCTCACATTTCCACGGGAGCTACTATTAATTTATCACACTTGTTGTGTCAAACCTTTTTGATTGCTGACACAAACATCCATAATTGACACACCTGTGCACAGTTTCATCCCCACCGACAATATCCTGGATGGCGAGCTAATGAATAATTCGAAAGTCATAACCCACACGCTTTATTCGCACTCAGCATGTCATTAGCATTAGGCGCTGATGGCAGCCATCATTAGACTGTGGGTGTTTTTGACAGGCACTCATTAACTGGTCCAAGAAGAAAAGACTCTTCAGCTCTGTGAGCTTAAAGACTCTTTCCATGAAAAAAAAACCACTTGTTTAAGTTTAAAATAGAGCCAGGATATCCATCTACATC